GACCTCCTCTAACTAGTATTACCCCAACATTCCATATAGAGGCTGGTATAACGTGTCGACACTTGCATGCATGTTGACTCTTAGAGACATGGCCCCAATGCGTGACCATACGTGTCTGCTGACATCATTTTCCAAGTACAATATTGGCACTTTAATATAAGTTTTGGGCAATGTTTGACATATAATACTAAAACTCAACATGGTAGAGCTTGTGTTTGGTCTTTGTCAAGTTCATAGTTTGATTCCCAGGGCCTGCAAATTTTTTCTTCTCGTTTCGTTTTTCTCTATTCTTAACAATAAAAAGGTAAGTTTATGCTCATGACCTTTCCAACTTTTGCATGCTGTCACATCCTTTCATTTCACCATAATTTGTTTAATGTAGTGAAAGGGACTATCAAATTACATATATTTTACTTAACATAATATATTTTATTAATTGTAAAAAATAAGCTCACAATCTCAAACTCACCACCTTGCATTAAACACTTGAGGTCATATGGGATAAACCAATATACCTTAAGGCCTCGTGGTTCACATGGATAGACCATCAATAAAAGGCTTTTGGCTATTGATAGGGCTTAAATGTCGGGTTTCATGCATGCAGCGAGTCCCTCCTCCAGAAGGCCAACATTGAAGAATACAATCGTCTCTTTCATAGCATGTGCCTTTGTTGGAGAGGTTTGGCAAGAACTTATCTAGATTAGTGATTCAAAAGGCGGCCCGCCAAGTGCCTAGGTAGAGGGGCATGGGCGCATCACCCAGGCCTAGGCTGCCCTTCTGGGCGAGGGCCCTTGGACGGACCCTAAGGGCCCGCCTAGGCGAGGGCCTAGGGACTAAATTCTTCTCATGGAGGGACATTTTCATCTTTTTCTCCCCTAAATAAGGGGGAAGGTGAGGGGCTAGGTTCTTGTGTGACCTAAACCCCTTTATTTATCTTTTGGAGTGGAATTTAAAAAAAAAAAAATCACTTTCTTGTATTTCTATGAGATCGATCGAGTATCTTAGAGTTTACAAAAAGCGATCCAAACGTCGTCATTTTGGTTTGGATTTGATTTTGTAGATTTTGAAGCTTCTTAGTGGGTTTTTGGGAAGTATTTGTGATTGGGAAACATCTCAAACATTGAAGATTGAAGATCGAGCAGAACGGTTAGTTAAAAATCTTCATATTTGAGATTTTATTTGTTATTTCAATGTCTTCTTCAGATTATCCTAAACGTGATGATCTGGGTTAAAAGTATGGTTATAACTGAAATCCAAATGGTTAAAAGTATGGTTATAACTGAAATCCAAATGACAAATTAATATAAGATGTAATTATTGCAAAAAAGATACTAACGGGGGTACAAACCGGTTCAAAAAATACCTTGCCGGTATTAGGGGGAATGTTGCCCCTAGTAAAAACATTTTTGAAGCTATCAAAGAAGAGAATAAGTAATATATGAGTTCGGTAAAACACAAAAAGAAACAAAAGGAACCTTGTCATTTGGATAAGTCTTATTCTGGTTCTTCTAAAAGTGGTGATCCGGGTTGGAAGTATGGTTATAACTCAAATCCAAACGATAAAAATTGTATCAAGTGTAATTTTTGCGAAAGATACCAATTATTAACCGATTCAAGAAATATCTTGTCGGTATTAAAGGGTATGTTGCTTCTTATAAAAAGATTCCTGTAGGGATGAGATAGACAATATTTGAATTTGGTAAAACCAGAAAGGAAGAAAAGGAGCCTTGTTATATGGAAATATCTTCTCCAGGTTCTTCTAAAAGTGGTAATCCGGGTTGCAAGTGTGGCCATAACCCAAATCCAAATGAGAAAAATTGTATAAGGTATAATTATTGTGGAAATGATACTAATGGGGGTATTTACTAGTTCAAGAAATACTTTGCCAATATTAAGGGGATGTTGCCCCTTGTAAAAATGTTCCTGAGGCTACCACAATGGAGATCAAGCAATATTTGAGTTTAATAAAGCACAAAAGTAAGAAAAGGGTGAAGAGGCACCAGGTAGAGCAGCCAACATTCCCAAGGTAAAAGGTGGTAGAAGAACAGGTGCAAGAGGCAAATTCAGAAGAAATAGAGGACAAGCATCATGTTGAAGAGGGAGATGACTGATGACGGACTCGACTCCGATTAATATGATGAGGCTTACCCCACTTCTTCTAATGATGACTGAAGACTCTTGACTCTTAAGGTCTTAGACGGTATATTTTCTTTTCTTTTTATTTTCTACTCTTATGTGTATATCTGTATGGTTGTGTCATTATAAGAGCTACATATTATGAAATGGTATGGACTATGGCGCATGGAGTATGGATTATGGATTGTGCATGTATTACTAATTTATTATTATATTTTATTTTTGGTTGTGCTAGTAATCTATTACAAGTTTACAATAGTTCGGAACTTTGGATTATGGAATTTTTAATATTTTATGATGCATACTCATATTCCCCTGCCCGTCTTCTTCAACCTAGGCCTTAGGCCACCAAGAAATCTGGGCGCCCACCTAGGTGCGGTGTGACCAGGACCCCCATGACTGCCTAGGTGCCGCCCGGCATTTTTTGGCACACTGTTTAGAATTCAATGTCAGAGCCATAATTGATTCAAACATTCAGTCTCTTAACCAATTGGTTCCAAAAGAAGTTCCATATCAAATCCGCAAACAAGCTTTAAAGAGCTTCTCACTCTACTCTAATTTCGATCATATGATAAGAAAGAAACCAACACTGAAAGGAAGATCATCACCATACCATTCAAGGGGCACAGTGGAAGATGATGTGGAATATTTGAAAAAGTCTCCCACAAGGCAATACACCCGAGAAATGAATGAGAAAGCAATATATAAAATATACTGTGAAATTACAGAGCGTCATATGAATATACTCATATGGAAGATACGGGGCTCGGGTGACCCCATCAAAAGGAGCTCAATGAGCTCCCATGCACATTAGTATCATCCCAATATCCTTGTTCTTTCATAAACCAAAAAAGATGCATTTGACTATAACTTCCTTGTTGATCTTGGAGGAAGACCTTTTACTTGGTCGGCTTTGGAACCTGTGATTAACCCCAATTGACACCATAATTGGTTCTTTCTCAATATTAATCTAGTTTGAATGCTGCTCAGGACATTCTTTGGCTTTTCTCGACTGTCTATCACCCAAAACCAAAGCACCCCAACCTCTGCAGCCTTTTCTGGCATGAATTAGACAAAGCTTTTCCTTGCTTTCCTCTTCCATGGTTTGTAGAAGGGGATTTCAACAACACCTGCTAGTCGGTTAAAAAATAGAGGTGGAAGGTTCATGGCTAGCATGGTTGAGTTTAGGGAATTCATGCACCAACATTCTGCTGTAGATCTTCCTTTTGTAGGGACTACTTTAACTTTGTCTAACAACCCATCCTCTCGGACTCTGTCTAAATTGGATAAACTCTTAATTTGTCCAAACTAGCAGAGTCCCAACCTTTTGCAGGGTCTCTCCCTCTTCAACCTAGGCTGGGTGATCTCACTCATTATCAAAGGAGCTTCTCTTAATGTTGTCTTTTGGACAAGTGAATCAGCACTCTTTTTAGGGGTTAGACAGCATCTTAGAAACACATTTCTCCAAAAGAAAGTCTTCGAAGAAATTTTCTACTTATGCCAAGGCCTTTTGGCAACCATACAGCATACATGGCGTGAAGCCAACTCTGAGGTAATTTTGCTTGCTTTGCAATCTCCTTACCTACCTCATTGTCCCAACCTTGACAAAGTGTACATTTTGATAACTTGAAACAATAACAGTTATCAAAAAATATATGAGCTAGGAAATACAAATTCCCAACTGACCTTGAGTATGATAGAGCATACTAGTGATGTTTTCATGTATATACATATATGGATGAATGAATGAATGTATATATGTATGTATGTACGTATGTGCGCGCGCGTGTGTATATATATATATATATATATAGCGAGAGAGAGAGGGAAACTTGTACACGAGGATCTTTGTAAATATTGTACCACACAAGTATTACTCCACACTTATAGATTTTCATCCATCTTTAAACAACAGGAATTGCCCACAAACCAACCTGCAACATATCGAAAAAAAGAATATGGTGGTTTTCTATGAGAGTGAATAATTTATGGCTTTGTTGGTCACTCCATGCTACAAGGGAATCTCACCCTTGGCACATACAACAATTGTTGACTCTAGTTTCACACAGATATCATATCTGGATACAATGACATCAGTGGTTGAGTCTATAAGTTCTATGAAATGTTTTCTGAAGCAGTCATGATTTCACATAAAATAGAGGGCCTAACAAAAGACATCTAGTTCACATAATTATGTTTAATGCCCTTTCAAACTTGGAAAGCATGGTTTCCAGCCAAATCAAAGCTGTGTAGAGCCTATACTTTGATTCATTTATTGTGAAATTTGGAAAAGAAACCTATTTTTTTAGAAAGGCAAAAAGAATAGAGCTAAATTTCAGGTCAAATATTGGATGGGTACCTCATTTTCTTCCTAGGTCCCTTAGACATCACTGGGACCAATCCAAATCTCTAAGTCTCATTGTTTCTTGTAAATGTAATTTTTCTCACCTTCAGCCTTTTAAGTGAAACAATCTTTTGACGGTTCTAGATAAATTGTAATGATAAAATATTTGAAATGACAATGGGACACAGAAAAAGAAATCAAGGTAAATATTATTTCCACGACACTGGGATGAGCTTAGGTGGGAATAGAGGATGTTGTCAAGAAGATGAAGATTTTGGAAGTAGGTAAATTCCAATACATGGGATATAAGAAAGTTAGGAAAAGCTCTCCTATTTGGACACTGGACTTAACTTTGTAGGGAGCTTGAATGCTGATGGGGACATCTTAGGGAAGCATTGAAAATTTGGGCCGTTTCTTCCATGCTAACCACTATCTCTGTTATGTAACCATGAACTATTTCTAATACTCATTTTAAGATACTTTCAATTTATAAAAGAGATACAATTTTTTAAAAACTTACATCTGACTCTTCCGCATCACTCTTTTCAGCCTCCTCCTGTCACGGAGAAAATAAAAAATCCCAAGAAATGAAAAAATAAATATTTTTATGAAATATTAATAAACAACCAAGTTATGTATTTATACAATGGAAACTTCCAATAAAATACCTCAGCCTGTTTCTTTTTCTCAGCTTCATCAAACGCTGCCTTCTCAGCCTGTGAAAGACAAAATGCCATTCTTGAGATGTTATACCAATTCCCATACAAGCAATGTCCTATTTTGGCTTTCCTATAAAAAGAAGTTTATTTTATTTTTCTAATAAATAGAAACCATTACTAATCAAGAGAAAATATTTGAAGTTCCCAATGAGATAAGCATAAGCAACATACATCCTTGTATTTTCCCCAAGTTTCTTCAGCAAACTTCCTTGCGTATTCAGGGTCGTCACAAATTAGAATGTTGTCGAACAGAGTTCCTGATTTGACCTGATTATTTACATGAATATTTAAATGAATGTAATAAAATAACTAACAGATTGTACAAATCTAAATAAACACAAACAGAAAAAGCCTCTCAAAATTTACCTGCCACAACTCAATGGCCACGTATTTCAAATTGGGGAAAACATAAAGATCTGGATCATCCTTGAAATCTGAATAACATTTTATGTTGGTAAGTGGACGACAATAGAGTAGCTAAGAAACTCTTTGAGTAAACCTTAATCCCCAAATTACATAGCCAAAGAAGATGAAGAGGAAGAATATCTACTAATCATAAGAACATATGACAAGCAATCAATGTAACCATTATAATACCTGGGTTGTCCATCATTGGTGCCTTCCATTTTCCCTTGTAAGAGGGGTTCTTGATTTTCTGTTTATCAACAGAAAATAGGTCAGCATCATCTTGATACTTAAATTCATAAACATTGGATCCTTGACTTAAAAAGTAATGAATAACATGGGAGAAAAGGTTGATTTCATTGCATGACGACTGATTTACAATTAGGAAAGAATGGGATGATGCTAGAACACCTCAGATGGGAAAAAACAACATGGAAAAGCCATGAAATATCTACTGGTATCGTGAAGTATTACTACTACCATCAAAATATCAGCTTCAGAATATTACAAAACTGCCACAGTTTTGAGCTTAACCAAGTTCTCCAAAGTTTGAGAAACATAAAAAATTTACCAATTTTTGAAGGATTGTAAATATCAGATTCCCCGTTCGGACATATATACAAACATATATACACACATATGTGTGTGTGATGACAACACTCTTGACACATACATGTGTGCGTGTGGGTGTGCACATATACATACATATATACATACATATGTGTCACACTCTTGACACATACATGTGTGTGTGTTTGTTGTGGACTTGTTTTCTCTAAGATTCACTGTCTGAAATATGGACAGTTTGTGTTCACTCGTGGAGCTGGTTTTAGGCACATCTGACTTGTGTAATAATGATTTATTTATTTATTTTGTGAACTTGAGCACTAGGACAAGTAGAGATTATCCCCAAAGTTTGGGGTGCAAAGGATTCCCTTCAGCTGTGGTTTTGAGCAAGAGCAGACTGTAAGGCAGTCTGACTACATGTGTCTACCCTTCCCCAGCTTGCAGGTATCACAGGCATTTGTTTCATCCCAAACATTGCACAAACATCCTGTTGGCCCAGATGAAAAAGCCCATACAAAAAAATTCTAAAAATAAAATAAAAAAGTTAGAAATGGTTTTATGGAACTTTATAAGTGCAGGTGATCCATGTCATTGCAACTAGATCCAACACTTTAAGAACTCAATTTGTTTTTTTTTAACTGTTAATCTGGTAATAATGACATAAATATACATAATATGTGGTTGAGCAAACCCCTTCAGCCTCAAAATGAAAGGCCCCCATATTTTTCCTTTCTTAAAATGAAAGGCACCCATATTCATCGCATTTTATCTCTGCTCAAAAGAACCATATTTTGTTTCTTTTTTCATTATTTTTTTTAATTAATTTTATTTATTTATTATATAATATTTTACAATCTTCTTCAGAGAGAAACAAATGACCCAGATTTGCACATGAATATTATTAGGATTTTAAGAAAAGTAGGAGTCTAATGGATCCCAAATTTTGCACGAATGTAGGTCCCACCTAGGAGGTCAAAATTATAAAAACAAGAAAAGAAAAAGAACTTGCATAAAACATTCGAGGCAAAATGAGTCTGTCGTTCTCAGCTGTCCTCCCCTTTAATCTGAACCATCTGGCCTATACTATGCTATAGGCCAATCAGCTTTACAGAATCATTTTTCACACATATATGCTTTATATATATATATATATGCACACAAACATATACATATATATACATATGCATATATATATATACACAGACATATATGTGTGTGTGAAGAGAGAGAGAGAGAGAGAGAGAGACCAAAAAGATAAGTGTCTTTCTCTATCTCTGCAAGGGGGTAAACTAGGACAAGCTTGATACCTGTTGTTGACTGCAGATATGTGTGTGTGCACACGAGTGCTTGTCGAAAGAAAACAAGAGGGAAAGAAGGGGGGGGGGGGGGAGGAGAGAGAGATGTGTTGGCAGGGAAATTTTACTATGTTTTCTCCAAAACCGGTAGCTGTATGTTCTGGTATTTGTAGTTCTCTTAATATTCTGGTCTTATTGTTGTCTCACCATAGAACACCAAATACCAATAACCCAGGAACACAAGAACAAAAAATATAAATAAGACAATGTTGTTTACAATTTACAAACCTTGGGCTTCCATGGACCCTTGTATTCAGGATTTGGAATGGTAGGAGCAGTCCACTCACCATCTTCCTCGTCATCCCAATCTTCCGGCTGATTGACAGTGCATCCACACATTCAAGTGATATAAAACAGTTTCCATACATTCAAATGAGATAATTCAGAAACAAAGTTCAACAAAGCATTCATTAGTTTCATAAATGTAACTTGCATAGAGACAAGCACAATCACATCAAAGGCCTATAAATGAAAGTACCTTTTTGGCCTCAGGGTCTGGAATCTCCTTTGGAATGTCATCATACCCCTACATAAGTGCAGGTAGTGAAGGTCAGTTGATTAAAAAGTTCATAAAAAGAAGGGAACTAAGTAAATATGAATTGTGTGATGAACCCAAGCATAGCATCAAATTGGCCAGTGATTCGCCGTAAAACAGTGGGTATAGGTCATACAGCATACATCAAGGAAAGGACAAGAAACTCAAAGAATGATGACAGTGTTTCAATCAGCCATCATCTTATGCTAAAAGGATATTAAGAAAATAGAACATAACCTAATTGGTCACCTATACGTTCAGAGATAAATTAGCATATGACATAAATATCAAAAAAGAAAAAATCAACATTTGAATACAAATGGATTTCAGCAAATTAGTGAACTCAATATTTGCAATTCAAAGAACTGTATTATTAATGTTTTATTAATTAATATTGTATACTGATGAAACTTAGGAGGAGAGCAATCTTTGCCTTTAGAAGGGAAAGCCTTCAAAGGGTTCAGAGTTTGGACTGCTTCTATTTTTCAAAAGAAAAATTTTAGAATGTTACTCTATATATATATATATATATATATAGGGAATGGATGCTGTCAGCCCATGGGTTGACTGCTACAGTTTCAACCAGTAGCCCAGATTGAATCTGGGCCAATTTGACGGTCACGACCTTATTTTGTATTTTAATTTTAATTTTTTTTGTACACATCCAAAACATTTGAAAATTTAGGCATACTTTCTAATCATCAAAGCGCACTTAATAAAAATATAAAAAAATAATTCACAAAATATAAATTGACCAAAATACCCCAAGTTTCGGGGGTATTTTGGTCAAAATAGAAAAGTTTCTTATATTTTTCGAATTATAAGAAATAGAAAAGTTTCTTATTTTGGTCAAAATAAAAAAGTTTCGGGGGTATTTTGGTCAAAATAGAAAATTTTCAAGGGTATTTTGGTCAAAATAGAAAACTTTCTTATATTTTTCAAATTGACCAAAACAGAAAAGTTTTGGGGGTATTTTGGTCAATTTATATTTTTTGAATTATGTTTTTTATATTTTTATTAGATTCTAATATTTTGTAAAAATAGATGTTAAAAATTTCAAGTGATTTAGATTTGTATAAAAAAAATGAAAATTCAAAATACGAAATGAGGTCGTGACCATTGGATTGGGCCTAGATTCAATCTGGGCTGTTGGTTGACACTGTAGTTTTCAGCCCGTGGGCTGACAGGATATATATATATATGAAACTGGAAAGTGATACATAGGCATCCTAGGCATATACATTAGCAAGGTCATAATTCACAATGCAAAATGAACCTACCTCAGGCTTCTTGTCTTCAGGGTCAGGAATGTATTCTTTTTCATCCCAATCTTCTGGCTGCAAAATGAAATTTGCTTGCATATGAGCAACATTCATGCATCTATAGGAATTAAACAAAGGAAAGTAATTCAGTTTTATTCATTGTACCTTTTTGGCTTCAGGATCCTTTATTTGCTTTGGAGGTTGCAAATCCCAGTCTGTATAAAGGCTCCCAGTTTCTTTCTCTTGGTTATCGATAAGAATGCTATAGGTAGCATCAGGACGAATGATGAAGGTATAGACATGAGTAAGCTGGTCTGTCTCACAGGGCACATCCTTCTTTATCAAGTGGTTTTTCCCATCTCGGCTGAGGATAGCATGGACCTTTTTTGTGCTATAGCCACAGATATCTGGTCCAAACATAATGCTGGAAAGTAGAAAGTTGAAGGCAAGGTCAGATGAATTCGCATCAATTAATACATGAGAAGAAAGTTAAAAATAGTGCTCAAGAGAAAGAGTAAAAGACATTATGTAAATAACCACAACCATTTCAGTTGCAGGACTATGACGACCAAGCTAATGGATTATGACTTGCCAAATAATACAAGTGATACCTAATATATACAGAGACTCACCACATCAAGGCTACAATGATACAAAAAGGATCAAAACACCAAATCTAAAAATACAATGCATGTAAAACTCGAAATACCATTGATATCGGTCTAAATCTACCACCATTGACACAGAACAATGAAACTCTGAATTAAATATTTCTATATGATTCTCCATTCTTGGAAAGTTTGATATGGTAACACTTATGATGAATACCTATATGGTGTCTCCCCACCAAATTTCTTTTGATCAACATCATCACTCAGCAACTTCATATACCCACCACCGCAGTCAAGCTTCTGTTCATGCTTTACAGAAAACTGGAAGACCAATGTCTTGCCCTTATTGCTGAACACAGGAAACTGTGAAGAGATGGCAAAGAACCTGTAATCAGGAGAAGTCTGAATCCCTGCAACCAGAACGCAGATCACACAAATGAAACATGTAGACGTTCATGTTTATCAATGTATATCCACACACACACACAAACAGACACACACACATATAGACATATATATTGACAATGTGTTTATATATATATAAACACATACATGCATATATATGTATATGTATATATAAATATATATAGAAAGAGAGAGAGATCAGAGGAGAAGAGTCCTTGAAAAGCGCACACACACACACACACAGAGATATATATATATATATATATATATATATATATATATAGTAGAGAGAGAGAGAGAGAGAGAGAGAGAGAGAGAGAGTACTAACGAAGAGTACGTACGTAAAGAAAAAGTAAAAGGGTAATAGTACGTACGTACGTAGTAAGTAAA